TATATATATATATATATATATATATATATATTATCTGATCCTCGATATATGGTAAAATACAGTAGATTTTGTGTAACAAGAGAGGGTAATTTAGTGGTTTAAGTCTTTTTTGTAAATGATATTTCGGTAATTGATAAGCGTTCTAAGATCAAAAAATCAATTTATAGGCATTTGATAAATGTAAATTCAATTGTATAAAAAATAAAAAAAATGTTGCTAATAAAAAACTCAGGACTTGTTTGGGATCAATTTTATTTTTTTTCTTGTTTTTTGTTTTTGTCCTTTCTTTTTATAAACATATTTGTTTAATGTATTTTTAATATATATTTAAAATAATAATAATAATAAATACATTTTTAAAATAGTTGTTTAACATAAATAAAACAAAGTAATAGAAAATAAAAACAAACGTTATCTTGAATGACCCTTAAGCAACTATTGTCTTTCTAAAAATACAATTTTGTTCAAAATAATATTGAATTATTTTAAGGCATAACTATACCTATACTATTATAATATTACAACAAAAAATTCAACTATTATTTCGAGTTGAAGGGGAGAACACTAGTGAGGGTTTCGTTCAAAATCGAGGGACGAGCGACTAGAGTCTTGAGATCAAGCCCGAGAGGGATGCACGACGTCCCAACCGACGGAAAGAGAGGGTCGGTGTGAGAGGGGCGGTCGGCGAGGTGAGGACGCAAGTGGCGTCGTGCCGACCAACGAGGCGAGGGAGGCGAGTGATAGCTTTGAGATTTCACGAAAGACCATTAGGTCATCATCATGTGAGAGAGGGTCAGGCGCATGAGTTAGTGTTCCCTTCTTTTTTCTTTTCGGTTGTAAGAACTTTTATCCATTTATTATCATTATTTTTTAAATTTTTAAGTTTAATTATCTCGATTTGTGTATTATTTGTCTGTGCACAAAATCATAGCAATATGGGTGTTCTTCATAAACAAAATAGACGTTTCAAACGTGCTCATGCAGTCTGTTTTTTCATTTGATGTTGTATGGATAAATTTGATGACGATCGAGCCAATTCAAGCTCGATTTACATGTGTCATTTCGAATGAGATCTGTTGGTCGAATCGAAGAAGTTCGATAGACAAATACTGACTAGCCTTTGCCCAAGAGACAACCAAAAAACATTCATGAGTCAATTGAACCGCCCGCAAAGAATCTATCATTCGCTCAAAGCTGTCTGACAGATAAAATGTCGACCGACCTTCGTCTAAGTGAAAGACAAAGTCTAGCAGAATCCTTCAATGTACGCCAGAGAGTCTCAAATGGATGTCTTGAACTCTAGGAATCAATGTATGCATGAAGTATGGTCCCAGTTCATTCAAGCTGACATCCCACATAAGGAATCTTTGTACGCACCCTAAATATTCTAATTTTAATGATAGACTTAATTATTAATGATATTAAGTTAACATAGTGATAGGAATCTTCCACAAATTTTTACAAAGTTAGGGCCAAAAATATTTTATTGCAAGAACTTGAAATAACTCCACTCAAATACGTAAGCTAAGTGCCTACAATTCGAGAGGTAGACAATCTCTCTCAATTCCTACATTCGAGAGGTAGGAAATCTCTCCCAATCCACTAACCCTAAGATACAATACATAATCTCTTGCTTGCCCCTAACCCTAACCTTAAACATATTAACCATATTTATATTAAATCAAAATAAATGACAAAAGACTAAATTATTCGTAGATTAATAAAAGACAAATTTTCCCTTAGGTGTCTATCTCACAAAAATTAATATTGTTCAGTAACAATCAATAGTATCTTTTTTTTATCGTAGACAATAGTACAAAAAGCTATTTTTAACAAATAAATTCATATATCACGATAGTTCAGAAAGCAAAGTTAACAACTAAATAGAAACTCAGTGTCACTTTTTCTAAGGGTCTGTTTGGGGCAGCAGCGCAGCGCGGAAACGTTGTTTTGCGTCATTTGGGGCGGTGGCGGTACCGAGTCGCTGCGGGGTTTTTGGTATGTTAACGAAAATGTTGGTCGCGGCGCGTTTCTTCCAATATTTTTAGGTGGATGCCCTTCGCGTCTTCTGCCCTAACTGCCCCCCTCTCGTGCCCCGCTCGTCCTGGACCCTAATACCTTGTCCTTATGCCAGATAGTGGTCTTTTTTTTCAACAAACACGGAGCCCTAATCTATGGATCAGTCACTTCAGTTCTTCACCTACTGACCAGAGCAACTATTCTCAGGGACATGTCCTAAATCCAGATTCCAAAGTCCCTTTCTCTATCGCAAGCAAACAATACATAGCTCATTTTCATTTCCAGCTACCTCAAAACTTGCTCAATGGTTTTTCCTGCTTTTTTTAGTTTTTCCCAACACTATTAATCCATTTTATTAATTTTTGGTAACTATTCTAAGATACTCATGATTAGCTCTTAATCTCTATTTTCTTTATGATTGTTTTCGTGCAAACAAATTGAAAGCTTGCGTTCATGGAAGCTGCCATATCCAAATTGTACCGTTCATATCCTCAACTCTCATATCAATAATTTTACTCTGAATAGATTTATATTTGAATTAATTCAACTCACTGTTCAATGCATGGAATTTTTCTAAATCTGCTTGAATCGTCAATTTTTTGTGTATTGTGCTAAGTCAGCAAACCTTTAGTTTTTTTTAGTTTTTTGGATACTATAAAATAAATTAGTTCTCTCACACATAATGTATATTACTTGAAATATTTCATTTAGGAGTTATTTGGCAACAAATAGGATTTATATCAACTTTAATTTAGTATATTTTGTTAATAAGTTTTACTTTACTCTTGAAATTTGATTGACATGATAGATGTTAGATCCTGTTTATAATTTGTTTGGTAAAGATTTTCAAGATTTAGGATTTGAATGAAGAAGAATGAGAGGCATATGGTGTGTGGTGTCCCTGAACTTTCCCCTTTACTGGCATTTAGTAAATTCAATCTTTTACCTCAAAACTAGTGAAAAATGAGATTAAAGAAGGTAATATAATTAATGTTGTTTAACAATATTTTTTGGAAAGATTTTTTGGAAAGATTTGCAACCAAGCAATCCCTTATAGTAATATTGTTTGAAAACAATATCAATTTGTTTTTTCAAGAAGCTCTTCATTATAGCCAGTTACCAATAAAATCACATAGGAACAATGTTCTACAATGTTATATCACCTATTCTACCCATACAATCCATATTCAGCACAATGATGGGGCAACATCACTTGGGGGCACTATAAATCCACATACCTCATCAATTGGACTCCTCTCGACATTGCTCTCAACCCATAAGATCCCTATGAAACACGGATACGAGGATACGACATAATTGAAAAAACTTGAACATGACACTTCATGGACATGTTTTTATTTTTAATTAATTATTATTATAAAATATATATATTTCCATCATTTTATATTAAAAACATCACAACACAAACTATACAAGAATAAGTGAGATGAGTATTTTTTTTATGTATTATTTTGAAGTGGATTTTTACTTCTCAAATATCAAATATAACGTTATGACAGTTCTGTTAGAAACAATATTACTATACAGGAGCAGAATAGTTATTTGTCTAGAAACAGCTATCGCACAGCTATTTTCAAACTGTAAAAAACAAACAGTCAGCCAACTTATCCACAACAGCTTCCTGTCCCAACAGCTTCCTGGGACAGCTGTTGCAAGACAGCTTATTGATAAATGTGAATTATTTGCCCCCAAACAGCCTTAAATCTGTCAAATAATATGAATTATTTGCCTTACTTATTTTTGCTGCTCTGAACTTTAAGAACAATTAATTAGAAACCTTTATAATTGCTAATGTGCTTCCATTGCATTTTTCTTTTTATTCACCTAGAGAATCTGTGACTCGATCAGAGACGGTTGTGATTGACGTGAAGCCTGGATGGAAGAAGGGAACTAAGATCACATTCCCAAAAATGGGAGATGAGGAAGTCAACATGATTCCAGGAGATATGGTTTTTGAGATTGATGAGAATCCACATGCTGTGTACACGAGGGTTGGCAATGACCTCGTTGTTCAACAGAAGTTATCACTAGCAGACGCCATTGGAGGAACCACATTCAAGCTTCATACCCTTGATGACCGTGAACTTACAGTTCAACTCGCCAACATAGTTAGCCCAGGCTACGAGCTTCTGATTGCCAACGAAGGGATGCCAATTGCCCGGGAACCGGGGAGTAAGGGACATCTAAGGATCAAGTTTGATGTTATTTTTCCTTCTACTTTGACTGAAGAGCAGCGCTCAGGCATCAGGAACATCTTAGAGCGCTGAGCTTGGGGACACCTTAATTCTAACTACTAACTGGTAGTGCTTTTTGCAATAAGTGTAAAAAAGTTTAGTTCATATTTGGTTGAAAATAAAATTTTTTATAGGTTTTTTATTTAATTTGATTCGAGTTAATTGCCCATTTTGTAGAAGTGATGGTGATAGGTTATGAGGGTCTTTTTTTTCCCTAAGGGTTTGATTTGCTTCTTAATAGTTTGATCAAATAATGAATCATGGAGTATATTATTTCTTAGGAAGTAGTGGGTTTCATTTAGAGGAGTGGGGATGTTTGGTTTGATAATAATACACTGATGGAAATGATATTTATTATTATTTTTTATTTTTTGATTCAAAATAATTTTTTTCATCAATATTTCATTTTCTTTATAAATATGCTGTGAGGAGCAAATGAAGCGGAAGTTTTTTTTTGGGTTGTCTTTTAAATTTTTCTTTTGTCATGTTGACGAGAAAATATTGCGTCAAAAAATTATAAGTGCAGATTAGTAGTATATGATATTATTGTGGTGGTATTGCAGTACAATATCATTACAAATACCATCAGGTTACTATCGTATGTGTCGAACACGAACGCTTTTTTTATGCTCAATATGTAAACAGGTCGAACACGAACAAAGAATTGTCCGTTCGTGTTCGGTCGTTTTGACTTGAAAATACTACTCTATATATATATATATATAAATTTGATGAGTAGTATTTCGAGTCAAAACGAACCGACCCCACAAGCTATATATATATATATATATTATGAGTAGTACTTTCAAAAAATTTAATTGGCTACAATGCTACAAATATTTATAATCATTTAAAATTATTAATTACAAAAATAAAATAAAAAATATATTAAGTTATATTTAAATGATGTATTAATCTAAACAATAAAATTTAAATCTTGCCTCAACCCTTAACATTATAGCTACGTGATTAGAGTTAAAACAACTCTTTGTTCGCAAACAGCTCGTGTTTGGCTCGCTAAGCAAACGACCCTAACACGAACATACTTTTTTGTGTTTGAAATTTAAACGAACCGAACACGAACAGTAATCTTTTTTACTGTGGTTGAACACGAGCGAGCCCAGAGCTCACTCGTGTTTGGCTTGTTTACATCCCTAATTGCAGTACAGTGCGATCAGAATACTTTTTATCTTTCCACCTAAATTTAAAGTAATCACTCATGTTTTCAACAATTTAATCATGGATAAATTACGACGTGCCATGTAAGGGTGACATTCTAGCTTTTAAGGTTTCTGGTTACTTAAGGTGTGTTGGGGGTTTGGCGGCCAACTGTTTGAATGTTGCGTTTTGGAAAACGTTGTTTGTTATTTTGTATTAAACGCGGATCGCAGGGTCCTACTCGTGATCTGCTTTTCGTTTCCTTTGAGTGAAAGACTTCTTACGCCCTTGCTTGTTATTCTTTGTCGTCTTCCCAATTCGAGCCTGATATAACTGCTTCTTTCTCTCGATGGTGTAGGGGGTTCAGATTGTTTGAATATTGTGTTTTGGCAGCCAACTGTTTGAATGTTGCGTTTTGGAAAACGTCGTTTGTTATTTTGTATTAAACGCGGATCGCAGGGTCCTACTCGTGATCTGCTTTTTGTTTCCTTTGAGTGAAAGACTTCTTACGCCCTTGCTTGGTATTCTTTGTCGTCTTCCCAATTCGAGCCTGATATAACTGCTTCTTTCTCTCGATGTTGTAGCTCTGGAGGGTCTCCCGCCCTACTAATGGATATCTCGGTTTCCGATCCCCAACTGACCACAGCATCTGGTGCTTCCTCTTCACTATCTTCCAAATTCGAACTGAAAGTTTTCATGTTGCCAAGAGAGATGAAACTTTCAATTTGGTCCAGATTTTGTTGGGGGGATTCTTCAAGTTTTTGTGTGAGAGAATGGCCATGTTTTAGGTGTGTGGGTTAAGAAGCCATTTTGTTTTTAAAGAGTGGGTTTTTATTACTTCTATGGATTTGGAACTCAGCTTGGTATAAATGGTCGATTAGAATGTGAGATATTATTGCTTATTTTATGTCATTTGTTGATATTTAATAGATTTTAATAAGCAATGATTTCTTATAAGCTCTCTATTTAAAATGCTCTTTATTAAAATTATCATAATTTTGTACTGTTATGAAATGGTATTTTTGGTTCTCAACTGTAAGATGCGTAGTTGTTAAAGTTCAAGTGTAAACAATAACACTGCAACTTTTTGAATGGTTTTTTTTCTACAAAAAACTGCAAATCAGCTGTTTTTCAAACGCACAAACCAAAGAGTTAAATAGTTTATCCAAAACAGGGGCAGAACGGTCATTTATCTAGAATCAGTTGTTTTTAAAACACACAAACCAAATAAATTGTCGATCAACAGATTATCAAGATAAGCTGCTTATATGGATAAATTGGATAAGCTGCAGCTGCCCCAAATAAACCCTTAGTGTAAAGATTATTTGTATAACGTAGAAGTTACAATTTTGTGTTAAATTATATTAATTATAATTTAACTACCTATCCTAAGAATATAATTTAGTTGAATTGAGCTCAAGCCACGTCTATACTGAGCCCCACTTGAGCAGCTTGTAAGCTTGTCCTCAAATTTTAGCTTATGACTACCTATCCAAAGAATATAATTTAGTTTAGTTGAGCTCAAGCCACGTCTACAAACTTACCAACAAACTTGAGTTCCACTTGAGCAGCTTGTAAGCTTGTACTCAAAATTTAGCTTATGTCAACAAACTTACCAACAAACCTTAAACCAAAATCTCATTTGAACAACTTAACTCAATGAGCACCTATCATGTTTGATCAAGCTGACAAGTAGGTTTTTCTTAAAGAGTAAGAGTGAGATGATAAGATGATAGGGCTTGTGGTTTAGCGATGACATTGATGCAACTATTTTATTGACAATGGCATTAAATTGACACAGAAAATGAGACTTCCAACCAATAAAAGGAGGTAGAGAATCAACAGTGAAGTAGACAGAGGAGAGGAAACCACTGTTGCATGAAGGTGGGAGTAGATTAGGAATTGGTAGCTACAGGTTGTGTAAGAGATCAAGAGGTAGTGCTAGCTTTATTTATTTATTTATTTCATACAAATTCTTAAACCATTAATAATTATTCTTTCAAAAGAATTAATATGTTGCACATCATTAGACTTGCTTTAACTGAAATTTGGAAAGTTAAAGATGAGAGAGAATCATGATGTTCATACCTAGTAAGAGTTGATTGGTCAGTAGTGGGACAAAAAGGCAAAATTGCTGTCAGAGTGAGGTATGGAGTGACTAAATCCTGTTGGGTCTAAGAATATGAAATATGGTCTCACTTTTGAAAATAATATGTCAATATATATCTATTAGCAGTATGTCAGTGGATGTGGGATGACTAGGGATCCCTCCCCTATCAGGCACCTATCGAGTAGATCAGTTTATTCTGAGGGTGTGATTGGTATTCAGATTTTGTAAATGGATTGCTTTTTTACATTTATAATCTTTAAAAAGTTTGGGATTTTACGTTGGGTGGGTCAAAGCCTTACCCCTTCTCAGACATGTAGTTCTTATGCTTTATCTTTGTATGCTACATTTAAAATTCTTCACTTTTTAACTTTTGTGTGGCTCTTATGTGCACTTTAACATGAGGTTATATATTTCTTGTTTTCCAATTTTGTGGTTTTGTCTGAACTGAAGGAAGAGAAAGAGGTGAAATTTAGGACCTGATTATGAATCTACAACCATTGTATCATATTTTTCAAACCCTTCTCCATGTTTTTCAGTCAAATTCCTTGCATCCAAACACAACCCATCAATTTGCTCAAAGACACAATTGTTTTTTCTCTAGCGATAAACTTAAAGCTATTTTGTTAAATTGATGATTTTAGGAGCAAAATGGTAATTTATTGAAGTAGTCGAGCATCAAATATTTGTATGGCGGTGTCTTTGAGCATTAAGAGTGTTACTTCGTAGTTAGTACTCAATTTTGTGCAAATGTCCTTAACCAAGTCTAGCAAATCATACAAATGAAAGCAAGCAAGTAATGAAATATTAATAGGCTAATATTAATTATTTATTATTATTATTAATTACATATATTTATATAGAAAATGAGATGACAAGGAAATTAATAACATGAAAATCATACAATTATATATATATATATATATGGAGAATCTCTTCAAAGAAAACTAACTTAAATGACTTGTAAAGTAATTATGATGAATCATGCACCTTTAGGATTTGAGTAAATATTTGTTGTTTCCTATTTCAGGTTTCTTTTAAAAAATTGTTATTAACAAATTCCTTGATTCTTTGATTCCACTTAACTTTGATCATAAGCTTTGCTCTATGAACTTGTATCCACTTAATTAAGAGTTAAAGATAAAATCAACTTTAATCTGATCATTCATCATAAGACTTTTGTCTACAGATATTTCATCAGGAATTTTGCTATTAGATTACTCAATCTATTCATCAAATATAATAAATATAAATGTTATATTTTCACGTTTAGAAATATACTTGATTTTAAATGCATATGAGATCTTGTGTTTAATTTTATTTTCAATTATATTTTGACTTTGGTGTGCTTGAATTCCCCATTACAATTAATAACTTGTGTTGTGTGGCCATTTTATTTGCCATGGAATTTATATCTATGGGCTTCTCTATAGGATGGTGTATGGTGTCATCATGTTGCTAGCAAATTATGGTGTGAAATAAAATTTAATAAGAATATATGCATTACTTGTGTCGTCGCCAATATAAACACAGGGATACGAGAAAAAAAAAATTTTACTTTCAATTTAGTTGTAGCTAATGAGGATCACTGGATGATGTAGGTAAAACTTTAGCTCATAAGTGGTCTTAAGCCAAAGATTGTGTATTTCAAAAAACTGTGGTTCTAGTTATCCTAGTTGTTGTAGATGTTTGATAGTGGAAATGTTGAAGCTATGAGATAAGTTGCTTATGAATCAAATATATACACTCGGAAATTGTAATTTTTCTATAATTGAAGAAACATTTTAGTGAGTATTGTTGTAGGAAAATCAAAATTATAATGGTAATAACGACAATGTCTTTATGTTGATATTTATTATTATTAGATTGTTGCAAACACAGAGGGATGATTTAGAAATTTAAAAGTGAAACTTATCAATGAATAGCTTAAATTTTTGAAAAAAAAAAACATTTTCAATGAGTTTAGTTTCTTCTTTTTTTCATACAAAAAAGTATATTCTTTTGTTTTATCATTATCATTTATAACTTTTTTTCGGCTATTTCTTAAGTACTACCAGGTTATTAATGACTATTTAGTTATCTAATCAACATAGAAACTGTTTTTGGCAAAGCTCAATTGTGGAATTTAAAATAAACTTGTTTAAAATTTAACTTGAAAGAAAGATGGATTCATTTATTCATTAAATCGATAATCTTAATGAAAAGGGTGAAGGGGAATGGGTCGATACAATGTAGAACATGAATGTAATTTTTGTTTATCTTGAATCATCGAGTGGAGATTAATAAAGTGCTTAAGTAAAAAAAAGTTTATGCTCTTTAAATTGATGAGTTCTTATTGAAATCATTGAATATTGATTGTAGTTGTGCTAAACAAGGGAGAATAAGTATGCTTGCTTGTAACCTATTGTACTTAGCGCTCCTTGTTAAGAAACCTATGAGAAAAAGTTTTCTACGTTTGGTTCTTCTTAATTAAACATTGGAGTCGCCAACTTGCATATATATATATATATCGTTGTATTATTTCTCCTCTCCAAGTAAATCACTCTCCTAGATCATTAAAAGTGAGCCAGAGAAGAAAGGAATCGGAAAGATGAGAATATAAGACAAAAATAGAAAAACAAATTAAAAAGAAACTTGAAAAGCTTAAGGAAATCATCATGTGATAGGTTGAGAGTATACATCCAAAATATAATCGAATCGAAATATCTCGAAACACAATATTTACGAAGAGAATCCCTACATAAGCAGCCCATAACCAAAAAATCAAAAAGAACGTTTTTGTTATGGGGTCAAGCACAACTCTCAAATGGACGTATCTATTTGGTTGATTACATTTTAGGGGATACCCAAGAAAAATCTCGATAATAGGGGTCCTGCTTACATTCAAGTGATAACTAGTAAAAATGATTGTCATAAAAGATGGTTATTCCATCGGAACATCTCGATGGTATCAACGCTCACACAAACTATAAAGGCAGAGAGTGGGTTTCTCCGTCCCACATACGTGGCAAGTCATAAAAAAAATGAGGCCTATGAAAATAATTGGGTCGTTCTGATAGGACCCACAGTATGCTTCAAGGCCTATTTGAGGAAAGGTTAAAGAGAAACAGTCAATGGCTTTCTTGATGTTATGTTGATGGGCATATTATACCCTAATAACAGATCAAGGAACTTCAAGAAGAAAGAAAAAGCTGAGGAAAGAGAGAAGGGTTTTTACGCACTTTGAAGATAAATAAGTTTCCATTCATTTTCAATTCGTGCTACAAGAGTTGTTTATATAGAGTTTAAGGGTAAAACTGTCAATGTACAGGTACCCAGGGAGCATAAATATATCTGAGGTGATCCTTTGCCCTATGTCACGGACAAATAGTCCCACATTGGCTAGGTGTAGGGCCGAAAAGCAGTATTTAAGTCCTGGGCTGCCCACCACCCACAAAGGGCTCTTTTGGGAGGTGACAGCGTGCTGACTAGATACTAGACAGCTCCAAAGGCACGCGTGGCACGCTCTAGTTGAACGTCGCCATCCACGTAGCTGCTGACTCGGCCTGCGGTTTATGTTCCGAAGTGTTGTCCGGCTCAATCTCCTTCGTCTATTCGACACACGCTTGATCAAATGGCTCCTTATCATCGTCTGATCCCGTGACCGTCCACATGGGCTCTTTTGGGAGGTGACACCTAGCTAGCTATCAAACATTATTCTTTTGCAACAACCCTGAGTGCCTAAACACAATGGACGAGAGGAAGAGGGTGAGATGCTTCTTAGCCTAACTAAAAGAATCTAAAATTTTGTTTAAATGAGTTAATAGTTTTTTCAAAAAAAATAATTAAAATGCTGAATTAGCAAGCTCCTGTGGAAACTTCATCGAATTTCTTTATCGCTAGTTCTTCTATTAATATGCTATGGTGCCTTCTAATCTGACAAAAAGCTTTTTTTTTTTTCAATTTTTTGACAACGAGCTTAGTTGAATAAAATCTACTAAAGGAATTAATGAGCTTAATTTACTGATCTACCCAATAATAATAATAATAGCCATTAATAAGCTGTACCGGGAACATCTTTATTTAGTTAGGTTCCTCTATATATATATATATTATGCTTTATCCCAATTATTTGGTGTGCACTTTTAAATCTTTATTTATTTATTTATTTATTTATTTATATTTATTTATTTATTTATTTATATTTATTTATTTATTTATTTATTTAAACACTTGTTAGGCGGAGCATTATGAATAGCCTAACTAAGCTTATGCGGTGCACGTCTTAGAGACTAGGAATTATCCGGCCATAAACAAATTAAAATGATTAACAAAATTCGATCGATATATAGCTAGCTAGCTAGCTGTTGATCGATGGATCGATGGAGACTGAATACATAAGACTTTTCTTGGTGGAATGAATTAATTAAGCGTCTTACAGATCGAGCAAGGTAATTTATAAACATATATATATAAATCCTTAAAACGTGCGCGCTTGTTCCACAACTTGGATGTTCTTGATTATGCATATATAGATTATCTTTATAATTAACTAATTAAACAAATAATATATAAATAAATAAATAAATATATATATATATATATA